TGTGGTTTGTATTTACCACATTGTGGGGACCAAATGTTCCCACAATGTCATAAAACCTGTTACCTGTTAGCTTTTGGGGATATTTTTCAGGTCTCCACAATATTAACCTTAATTTTTTTGGTTACTTATGGTTTAAGTTAGGGCTGGGTGAGGGTTAAAATTGAATTCCTGATATCAAGAACTGGCTTTTTAACTAGTCCCATAACGCACACCCATAACACACACCCATAACGCACTCCCATAACACACACCCATAACGCACTTCCATAACGCACACCCATAATGCACTCCCATAACGCACACCCATAACGCACACCCATAACGCACTCCCATAACGCACTCCCATAACGCACACATATAACGCACTCCCATGACACACTCCCATGACGCACTCCCGCTCCCATCTCAGAGCATGGCCTGCTGCTTCACGGCCAGCTCCTCTCTCCTCCTGGTGCGTCATCATGGAAACCCTGTTCCACCCCTGCATCAGGCGAGTGACAGAGACCTCGGGGACACACGTGCCGGCCCCCCTTCTATTTTTGGCTGAGTGACCGGAACCAGCTGACATCCCTGGGGAGAATCCCTTCCTCGTTATGTGGGATTAAGGGCATGGCTGCATGTGCACAGTGTGCTACTGCTGTGCGTATCAGGAAGGCCTGTTTACAGACAATAGAAGTTTATTTACTACTGCCTGGCACGTTATGGAAAATGTGTATTTATAGCAGAGAGGATGATGGCGCTCACACCATGTGGCACCACAATTTGGGGGGGAAAATCATTAAAAAAAAAAAAGCTTCCACTTGGCTAGATTGGCTGCAAGGTGATCTGTGCATGCTAACTCGTAATTTGCAGATATCACTCGGTCCATGGGATTCATCATTGAGAAAATTTCTGTGAACTTAATGAGCTTTGGAAATTTAATGATAGTTCTTTGTCGGAATACATGAGGACTAAGTAAATTTTTGGTTCCCAAAACTGTAACATACTGTATGACGAGGAAGTCTGACTTTAGGTCATTGGCAGCCTCCTCTGAAAAACAGCTGGGTGAGTCCCTAAGATTACTTTTTCAGGTGTTTACGGATGGATGGATAGGAATGATGGAAAACCATTTTTTTCCCTGAAATGGTCTGGAATGTTGTGATTCTCTTGGAACATTTGTTTCTCTGGTGAAATAAGAAGTGTAAACAAAATGCTTTACGCTGGGAGATGCAAGAGCGTATGTCCCAAGTTGAACCGGGAACATATCTCCTCTTAATTCCGCCTAGTAAGTGTTCGTTTATGGTGAGGTTGTCTGGTTAACTCTCTCACTGTACCGTCAGTGGCATCCAAGTTAGAGCCATGTACTGATCAAACAGCTTAGGTAAACGTGCATGAGGGGCTGTGGTGGAGGTGGAGTTTGGAGGGGGGGGCAGGGGGGTAGCACCCGTCCACCCCAGTTGCCTGAGTTGAAACTGCAATTATTTTCATCATGCATCCACCCCCTCCCTCCCCCCCGCCAGGTGCAAACATTAAACTCTGCCTATCCTTTTGGCTGTCAAAGAAAATTTCATAATCCATATAAGGTGTAGAGTACAAACCCTGTGCGACGCTGCTGCTAATCTGTTTATTAGTCTGCAGATCAGTGTTTCCCATCCCGGTCCTCAGGGACTTCCAGACGATCCAAGTTTTTGCTCCTTCCAGGCTCCCTGCCAGACAGTCTACATTTTTGCTAAAACGTGGAAAAACATGAACTGGCTGAGGGTCCCCGAGGTCTGGGTTAGGAAACATTGCTGTAGACGAATCCTGTGCCATGTGTTGCACAATAGGAGAGACCTTATAAGAATGAGTAATTGTTCTGTCTGACTCTCTATTCAAACCCTGTGAGCGCCTTCAGATTTCAAAGCATGACTCAGAAAAATGGAAATGTAATGTTTGTACTAAGTAGTAATTGTGGGGATCCCCCCCATCCCACCACAGGAAAAGTTTGTTTCCAACATGCACATTCAACTGAAGAACAATTGGAATCTATGGTGGCATCATAGTCGGCCCAACACTGACAGACACATTAATATTCCCCTTATTAACTGTCACATGACCTGGTACAGTGGCCCTTGAGTACAGCACGCTAGGCTAACTGTTAGCGTCCAGTTTTAGTTTGCTGAAATGGTAAAACTTTAGAAGCTCCAACTTAGTTTGCTATATTAGTTACCTCAGAGTTATTCTTTGAATTTCTCCTTTAAGAGTAAATATAGACTCAAACCGTAGAACTCCTGACAAGGTTTTGCTTGGACAACATTCCCAGTTGAGGCCTTAGAGGAATTAAAAGACTCTATCTGACGAGAAAATTCTAAGATTCTAGACTTTAAAGTCTTTAAAACTGTAACATTCTGTTACAATCTTTTTCAGCTTCACGTTTCAGCTCAGATGTACGGTAGTGTGCCTTAGGCAGAAAATTAGGTTCAAATGATGTACATATTGGTGTAAAACTATGATATTGTGTCTGTCAAAGTATGTCAACTTAGCCATTTTAAAACCTCCCCTGAAGTCCCCACAGTATTTGCAGCAACCACTCAGTTCACCCATGGATTTTTGACTCGACCACTACCAGACCAAGTTTGGCTGATCAATGCCATATTGAGCTCAAATTCATTGAGCTATTGGTGAAATTAAACAATTACAAGGAATGACTGAGGTGCCCCTGATGAGTGGTTTGGCAACTAAAACAGTTTTCTTCTAGCCATCCAATAATCAAGATATGAGTAACTTTAGTAACATTTTACTTGAGGGGACAAATGGTTCATAGTAACTTCATTACTACTGATGTACAAATTTTGTCACTGCTTAAGATGAAAGATTTGTCATGATTCATTAAGGATGAACAACCATGACGTCAGTATTTTGCTTGTGTTATTCATGGCTTGTTCCTTCAGTGATTCCTTCAGTCGTTCACAAAGGTTTGCAAAATGAACAGATATAGTAACAAATATAGTAACTGCTTGGGATGAAAGATGTGTAACAATTCATTAATGACAAACAAACATGACATCAGTTTGTAACTAATACTTAGTTTGTGGTTCATTAATACATAAGAAATAGCATAATATTACATTATTTGTGTTCCCTCAAGTAAAGTTTTACCATATCTTTCTGGAGAACAGAAGAAATTTTTGTTTGTTTTTATTGTGTTACAGTAAATTTGCATATTTTTATGATAAATTCTGAGCTAATATACACTTACTGCCAAGTTAGCCTTAAAGATTTCCTTTGACTTTTGCACAGTTCTTTGTATGCTTGTTATTTCCTCCTTTTGTGATATGACTGATGTATTTGCATGGTATGTTTAGTTGTTTATGGTGTTGCTATCTGCTTGGGAGTACAGCACTGCGACAAGGCTAAGAAAACACAGGATGTTAGGAAAATTGCAATAGGGAGAGAGAGGGGTCACTCGGTCCGTGTGATTTGACATGTGGTTTGGAGGATGCGAGGCTTTGACTTGCTCCTACTGTAGTGGTTGACTGTGCAACTGGGCGATGGACAGGCATCCCATCCCTGGTACCTTGTGCCCAATGATTACTGGGATAGACTCCAGGATGGTGTTAAGTGCTTATTGAAAACAGGTGGATGGATGGGTGAGTGGTTTTATGATGGTTTTATCTGTCTAGTGAATCTAGTAAATCCAAGGTTTGTGGCTCAGCTTGTTTCATATCCCTCTACCAGGTGTTTCCATTGGAAATCACTGACAGTGATTCTATGTGAAGACTACAGAGAAATTTGTCTGACACAGATCAGCTTTCACTTAGTGCTCCTTAATTGGGTGCTACTGTAATTAAAGATTGCCGCTGGTTAAATGCAAATTTTTTATGTTCTCGGGAAATATGGGGGTACAGTTATGGAATTGTAGCTAGGCGACATATGATCTGTCGCATTTTCTTTCTGTCCTGGCAGATGGAGTTAAACCTCAAAGTGCCCCGAGTTCAGACACTCAGCCTTTCAAGGCCCTCAAGCATTTTGAACATTCATTAAAAGTGAAAGGAGAACTCCACACTTGCATGATGGCAGAAAAGCAGCAGTATTATTGTGTGTTTATATACTAATCCTGGATGAAAACATAATTCCATTCTTGCACCAGGAAGGATCTTCCCTCCTGACTCTCCTTTCTATTTTTAATACACAGCACCTAGCTCACAGGTAGCCTTCTCTCCTGACTCTCCTTTCTATTTTTAATACAGCACCTAGCTCACAGGTAGCCTTCCCTCCTGACTCTCCTTTCTATTTTTAATACAGCACCTAGCTCACAGGTAGCCTTCCCTCCTGACTCTCCTTTCTATTTTTAATACAGCACCTAGCTCACAGGAAGCACGCTGATCTGGTGAAAAAGAACATTTCCTCACTACATACAATGGCTCCCAAGACTAAAAAAATAGAGGCAGCATAGAAGAGCCACATTATTTTTCAAGGATCTTGAACAGAAACACGTGGTAAGTCACACAAAGGTGTTACAGATAAAGAAGTGTGCCACTAACTTCCTGTTTGGGGACTGAATAATCAACAAGACAGGAATGTTAGGGGTCTAGGTGCTCGAATAAGCCATCCACCACCAAGGTTAATCGGGCTCCTTAACTGCGAATGTTCTCTTGCAGATGAAGGCGTTCGAACACATGTTCTCTTTTAGTGGCAGGAGAAGTCACGGAAACAAGCGTGGGAGTATCAGGAGACCGTGAGATGACAGAACCGAGAAATTCGAGACACTCGAGTTAAGTACAACAGGAAGCTGAGGGAGGAGAGCGAGTCAGTTCAAGCAGCTGGGATCCAGCCTTTCCACCCTGGGCTTCACGTAGAGGTGATAATGCCTGATGACAGGACTGTAAATTAACATCAGTCCTCCAGGAACATTTCAGTGCAATTCAAGTCAAGCTGCAAAGGTGCACCTGATCCTTTTCCGGGACACGGCGAGCGTGATACCCATGCGAAAAGTCAAAAGCAATTAAGAAAACAAGATTTACACAGCAAGGACGATGCTTTTGCAGTGAGAGATGATTAATTTGCCATCAGAGTCGGCCACCTAACCATAACCACTGAGCTCAAGAAAATGCACAGCAACACTTGCATAAAAATATACATTTAATTTGGTGACAGATAAATGATACCAACACACATCTGTTCGTTGAGGTTGGGCGTTTATGCAAACACATTTGTGTTGTTACATAATTATAAGCCTTGGATGTTAATGAGGTTCATTTTTTATTATATCTGTGGAACCTGTTCATGTATGGAATCAAGACAACCTTCTGTTTGAATCAAGGCTTTATGAGCAAAGGGAAATAGTGGAGGTAATCAGCAGAACTGGATAGATCAGGCCCAGAAAACAGAAATCCAGACCAAGATTTTGTTTCAACCAACCAGTTGAGTGACTGTGACTTAGTTGTGGCTCAACCAGTTGGTTGAAACAAAGTCTTGGTCTGGGTTTTTTACTTCCTGGTCCTGAACTATCCGCCTCACAAGTCCTTGAAGAGCCTTCCATTTCCATGCTGAGATATTGACACTGAATTGCAGAGTGTGGCACCTGCCCCAAGAAGAACTTGAGATACCAGACCAGCGCAATGCTTGGACAAAATCAGTACTTCAAACTGTGTCACATGCCAGGTACCACTGTGTCTCCCCACGCTCCACGTGCAGAGATAATGACCGCAGTGACTCTTATTCAGGTCAAGTTTGTGCCCTTCCTCTGTCCTCCATGAAATGTCTAAAACAATCTACAGCAGGGCTTTCATTGCTGTGCAGAATGTCAAGAAACGCTGTTTTACGGAGGACAGCAGGGACAAAAAAGACGAGATTTGTAGAGATACAAAGATGGATAAAATGTCAAAAGTCTTTTCTTTTCTATGCAATACAGAACAAAAATGTAAAGCAAAGTTGAAACAGTAGCTGTATACATGGCACTAAAGTTATATTTTCATGAAAAAGACCTATATTTCATAATAGTTACACAACCTGTGTGATTTTTTTTCCTCACTAATTGGTGTGCTTCTTATGAAACGCTGTGACCAGCGTGTATACTTTCCATGGTAGCTGAGTCCGCTGGCTGTCACCATGGTGATATAATGTGTAACCGTACCTTCCAGTGCACAAGCCCACCCTTGGCCAATGATCAGTGCTACGGGTGGGGTTATCGGGTAATTCTGGGACAACCTGCAAAAGACAGAGGGGGACCGTTTCAGTGACATGTGGACTCACTCAGCCACTAATCCCTAACTGAGGTAGAAACACAGCAGCCACAAGCCACAGTGAGATGTGGAGCTCACAGTACAGAGTGAAGTAGCAAAGACATACATGGACTGATGTTCTAGGTTACGTTGGAACGTTATCAGGTGGGGAAACACATTTCTACACATATCTTGTGGTTCATATATTTATAAGCAAATGGACAGATAGATCAGATGTCATACCACATTGATTAGATTTCCATTGGATACTGTGTGTTTGCGTATGGGGGGTGGTTCCCGGAGTGAGACAGTTTCCATGTCACATGGGACCAATCACCACCCCAACAGACGCTGGTCTTTCAGATACAGATCTCTTTCAGTTTAATGGCCCATTAAAGTCGGTATCATGATACGGATTTCAACACATGTATGATCCTTCGCCGCAACACAATGTTCCAGTTACAGGTTGCATAATAAACTGGCGTGGTCTGGGGCATTTCAAAGGGAGGCAACCACAGAGTCAATTAGCTTGGAAAGATTTCACGGCTGATGGCTAATGAGGGCGAACGGGTCAATTTAGCCCATTAATTACGCCGATGGCTATCGCCTGGCTTCTGACTGAAGTTGACGTATTAAGCAATATTTCCAGGAGCTGTGAGTTAAATTGGATGGAGAAGGGCCACATCGACTGCAGATGTGTTTCAGATGAAAGGCTTTATTATAGTTTCTGAAATAAACAGCGCAAACGGAAGGTTTACAGGAACACCACGTGTCCGCCGTGCCGAACGACATGCTGCTCTCTGTCCCGGGAGCGTGCTCAGATCCTGATTACCCGCATCACATGCGAGTCATTCCTCCTGCTTTTCATAGCGCTGAGGGTGATGGATTTATGTGTGTGACGCTTTTCAGGCAGGGGTGATGTTGGGGGGGGGGGGGGGTGATCAACTCCAAAACATGCCCGAATAATAAGACAAATCACTGGCAATTATGCTATTTTGGATGAGGGAGCTACTGTGCAGTGGGGAAATAGAAGGTTCTGCCAATACCCAGATGTACAAAAGCTCACGTATGGTAATGGAGTCCATGTGGATATAATTACGTGATTTCATACACACCCCCTGCGAGGAACACGATGAGAGTGATTGTGACAGAAATGGTGAACCCACTTACCAGATAATTGGCACGTGTTTAGAAAGAACTTCTGAGAAAAGTCCTTCTGCCCCGCACCTCTTCAATGTCCAAGCCGGTAACTTATTTCCGCAGAGAAAAAGGAAGAAAAACAAATCATCCGTGGGCAGAAAATATCAAAACAGGAAGACATGAATGTATTTTTGATATATTCAACTTTTATTCACACTTCTTCCTCACTCACTGAAGGAAGCATCCTGCTTTATTAGTCAAACATATCCTGTTGCCCTTCTTCGATCTCATTATCTCAAGTGTTTCTCAATCACTCTCATTTCATTTCTCAAATAAGAGGCTTGCATCTCACACAGAACAAAACACCAGCGTGCAGAAATTAATTAAACTTGATGAAGAGTCAGGACATTATGATGGCCTAGTGCTTAGTACTGAGGCATTAATATTTACGTAACTTATTTATAACAGGACCCTTGCTCCAAAGCAATGTATCTGTGAGACATTTGGTTTTTGCTGCTGCCTCTCTGGAGTTTGCAGGTTTTTGCTCTGTGAGTATCTCAGGTCCAAAGGCATGTGGTTAGGTGCATTGTTGTGTGACAGGCTGGCATCACGCCCAGGGTGCCCTGCTTCATGCGCTGGGCTTCCTGATATACTCTCCAAAAACATAAACCAAACCCAAAAATTGCAAAACATTCAGCTTTTATTGGCCTCAACAGCAAGTACCCAGAAGATATTGTGCAATATATTTGAACCCATGTGTTAGTTTGAATTGTATCAAACATTTACATCCATCCATCCATCCATCCATTATCTGCCGCTTGTCCGGGGTTCGGGTGTTGTTGATCCTGTTTTTGAGTTAAGTGTAGCTAATGTAACTGATGATAATTTGATGATAAACTTTACAGACAGTGTTAGTCCCTCTTTTTATAATGTATAAGAGCATTCTGGGTAAAACTGTGTTCACAAGTAGAGTTTCTTTTTTGTAGAAAGTGCTACTTCGAGCTACTCAGACCACTGAGTTTTGCTCAGTATCTGGGCTGGCTAGCAAGCCAGGTGGAGAAGAAACCTGGGAAGGAAATGCAGGCTCCTGGACAGACGCTTACAATGGCAGCCAGTGACACTCTTCTGCAGACAGACATGAGGTGCATGCTCAAGCTATTTTTGACTTCGCCTGTCACAACCTGTGCTTGTGTGAGGTTCTTCTCTACAATGTAAGGACTTCAGACGTGGCTGAGATCAAGCACGAGCAACCAACGGCTGTCAGGACTGGCCATGCGAAAGGCAGACTGAGGAGAATTTCTCAAAAGATGGGAAAGATCGGACATTGTTGGTCCAGCTTCTTTTCAGCAATAAAGTTAGAGTAATAGGCTAAGAAATGTTAAATAAGTCATAAAATAGATGATTTAGTTTAAACCGCCAAAGGTGCTGAAAAATTATTATTATGTATTTTCCTTTCAGTAAACAGGTTACGGTACCAGTAAGATTTCACACATACACGCATTTAATCCCAAATATGACAAATCAAATATAAGTTCTAGATTTAAAATGCTCCAATACTGCCACTTTTGAATATAAGCACTCTGTCGGTAGAGTTCAAAGGTCAACGTATTGTTTTAACTTCCTGAATTCCAAGAAGAGCAGTAGCGGAGAGATGGCATGACTTTGTGGGGCTGCTTCTCAAACAGCTTCTGGGAATAATATGAACACAGAACACTCCCATTATCAACTAGGGCTTTACTGTCATACGATCTATATACAATCCACAGCATACAGTGGCATGAAAACTGGCACAGCAATACAGAGTTGTTTGGAGAACAAAAACTCATTTTAAGAGCAGACGTGACCTCTGTCCCAAAAAAAAAAAAAAAAACTGTGTACTAAGCGATTTATTGTTATATCTGAGCAGCATGGAGGCTCATTCGGTAGCTCAGAAGCATCACACCTCCAGGCCTGGGAGTTTAATTGCTGGCTCCATATTTATGTGCGTACAGTTTGCAATTTTCCTCCCATACTGCAAAGACACGGTGTTAGGTGGCTTGGTCTCTCTATACTGCCTTGAGACAGTTTCTTGAATAACAGGCTTGAATTTCAAATTATCAAATTATCAGCATAAGGAAATGAACTAAGACTGATGGTAGGTGTAGGACTTTGGAGAAACCTTGTTTGTTACAGGGTTCCTCCAGGTACTCTGGGTTAAAAAGCATTTGGTTTTCAAATGGTGTTTGTAAGTTTACATAGAGTGTGACCGTGTGCCTTGTGTTTCATAGTATAGTATCCAGCCTCACCGTGACTAGATCAGCATTGTGGTAAATGGTGTAATTATTGTACATTCTTTGTCAATAGAATGCAAAAAGTTGCTGTTTTTGTAAACATTATACCTAAGACTGAATTTTTTGCTATTAAAAAGCTGGAAGAAAAGTTTGAAATAAGGCAAGAAAGTGATGTAAGCTTGTTATTCGGTGAATGAACTACAGTAATGAATCATATACGCATACATATCATGAGGTTGGCTGATTCACTAGCACTGAGAGATCAGCTGATAAAATATAACGGATATTGGAAACTGCTGATATCGCTAGAGCAGGTGTAAAATCTTCCCAGCTTGCTCAATAGAACGTTGGCAAGAGAGGAAAGATGGTCAACAGAAGGGCAAGATCAACCAAAATATAGAGTCCCGGGTCCGAGACAGATATGATGCAAAAGGAAACATCACTGAAAATGCAGCTGTGAAGCTTCTATATTGATATTGATTAAATATGCAAAAGAAGAGAAAATACATATACTGTGTGCAAAATGCCACGCATTTCAACTGTATTCGGTGTCCTGTGCTAAAACTGTAATACCGTATGAGGAGGAACATGAAGTTTAACACTCCGATCGATTTGTTTTCACACTCATGCAGTTGTGCTCCTGCTCTGACTCATTGTAACACATGTTCATTTTACCAGACTCCCCCCAAGTGAGGCATCACTCCTAGTTGCTACGGATTACCACTGACATTATGGAACAGGGCCTCGGAGTTAATAAAATCTGTTTCGTTTGTCTCCGCTTTTTTTATCTTGGTTTGGCTCAGCACAGCACTGGCGAAGCAAAAATGAAAATCTGGGACCTGTGCCTGTCAGTCCCCGGGGGCCTGTTTGACCTCCCTTGGAAAGGAAAACATCTGATCGTGACGTACAGAGGGAGAGAGTGGAGGTCTGGTTTCTACTCTGGTTTTGATGACTCAATCAAATGAAGCTGACCTTTGCAGAACTAGGCCAGGTGCTGAACACTAGTGGGTATTCAGGGTGGCCCACTGACTGTAGGCCAAGGAGATGTGTAGTTTTGCAGGTTAGGTCTCTGTGTCAGCGATCAAAAGGTCACTGCTTTGCATTCTGTGGCTTCTGGAGTGATTTCACCTTTGGGCCCTTGAGCTTAACCCCAATTACTACAGGGACTGGCTGATGCGGCTTTTCAACTGTACATAACTTGGATAAAAGTGTCTGCTAAATCAATAAATGTAAAGAGAATTCGGGACATCGCTTATAAAGCTTTATAAAAGAACACGCCACTCTGTGACTGGACACCCCTATCAATCCTATATTAATAGTCTTACTTAAACAGATCTCCACTGATCTGTTTTCCTTCAACTCTTTCCTGCTAAACAATAAATATACAAAAGCAGTAATATGGTAATATGGACAAAGAGAGAACATTTTTACGCATTTTCTGATCATAACAAGGCTCAAGTAATCATTAATCTTAAAATAAAAAATAGGGAAAAGAAACCACTGACAATTTGAACATTCGGGAATCGATGTTATGTTAACCAGAGGTTGTGCAATTCAAATATAGTCCCATTACAAACTATATGGTTAGATGCAGCACTCTGTTGCAATCAACTGCAAATATGACAGCAATGTTAGCCATATTTCACATTCAAGGAAGTTTCTGCATGGGGTCGTGGCACAAAAACCAAGGGAAGAAAAATTATATTTATGTTTATTTGTGGTTATAAAATGCCTGAGAAGAATAGATCGTGAAAAATGGCCAAAATGTAATTTAGAAAAATAAAAGAATAATTTTTATATGGTCTCTTCAATCCAATTCACTATCTTTGTTAGGGAAGATTTAAGTGATTTACTCAAGAATTTAACTGAGAGCTTCATATAATCCAACACTTGATGACTGTAAGCAGAAATGGGCTAAAATCTCATGAGAAGTCATGCCCTCACAATGCTTATTGGAACAGAAACTTCCTTTAAGGGACAAAGTGGAATATAATGTACTTTTTATTCTATAATGAGCATTAAGATGATTCAGTTGTCTGGCGAAAAAGATTGCCAGTTGGAGTAATTTAATATTTGAAGAGCATGCAATGTTCTGAATTCAAAGCTTTAAAAGAATTAAATAATAAATATTTGGGTTTGCATAGGGACCAGGACAGTGTTTGATTTGCGTAGAGTCTCGCTTAAAAAAATTCTCCTCGGAATGTCCAATTTAAATGCTGCAGCAAATACCAGTCTTCAGGGTTTAGATCTGATTGCCATGGAGTTTGAAGTAACACTCTGTCTATTACACCTGATTGTCTCACAGATCAGAGGCAAACTTCAATCATATGGCATCTGGACCAAAGGGCTGTGGTGGGAGGGGTGGTAATAGCAGGAGATGGTGCCTATCCACCCTCTTTAATCCCTCCCCAATTTTGAAACCACATAGGTGTGTGACTATTGGACACTGAGCTCATCTGGGTACAGCTCAGGTCAGGTGCTAATGTTCCTGTTGTGGATCTACACCATAAACAATGAATAGGCCTGATATTGCACATGACCATAATTTATATTTATATTTAAGTTATGGTATCTATTCCTCTTTGAGTAACAATTCACTTGAGGGGGACATAAATATTAGTACACTCTTATACTTAGTGTATTAAATAATTTTCATACTGATCCCATGATCGTTCATCATTATTCAATCATAAATTCATGTATTTGTATTTGAATAGTAACTGAGTTACTAAACCACTTGTGCACCTTCACGTAAAACATTACCTGTATTTGTAAATATTAGATGCTGACTGCATTTCATTGGCTCTGTACCTGTACTTAAGCACGAAGGCAAAAATGTTGAATGTAATTTAATCTTATCTAATCTAACCTAAAACCTAAGAAAACAAATTTAAATACTCACACTTAACCATTACCTAAGTCACACCGTGCATGTAACCCTAGTAGAGTATGAGTTACGAACCAGATCCGCTTTAGGTCAAATTTGTAGGTAAGTCGGAAAAATAATAATGCAGAACATAATAATAATTATTATTTTAAAGTAATAATAAAAGTAACTACACGTGGTACTGTACTGTACTGTACCCGGAGCCCTGCTGAAACCGCGCGATCTTTTCATGAACGTCACAAAGTAGTGAGTGCGTTTGTTATTATGAACCATTGTATGTAGCCCGGATGTTTTATGTAACAGGTTTTATGATCTGGGGACTGAATGTACTAGTACAAGTGTCTCAAAACAGCCTCTGGATGCTTATGAAATATCATATATGAGAGAGCAGTTGCTAGAGATATGGGTTGGTGGAGAAGCTGAAATCATGTGACCACAGTGTGAGCTCTCAGGAACAACGCCCCGAAACAATGAAATGACGTCATGTCCTCTCTCCTGATCAGATCAGCAAGGTCGCGGTACGGCAGAGCCAATGAGAAAGGCACACATCTCATTAATGGTTCAAGGCCGCGGTACGGCAGAGCCAATGAGAAAGGCACACATCTCATTAATGGTTCAAGGCCGTGGTACGGCAAAGCCAATGAGAAGGGCGCGCGTCTCATTAATGGTTCAAGGCCGCGGTACAGCAAAGCCAATGAGAAGGGCGCGCGTCTCATTAATGGTTCAAGGCCACAGCACATGTGTCATGTGACTACAGCAGAGCGATTATTGCATTCTAACTAAAAAAACCAAACATTCCTTGTTCAAATGTTAATATCCTAATGAACGAAGTATGGAAAATGGCAAAAAGACAGAGATCAAAGTACATATTCAATAAACAAAAAAGAGAAATAGACATAGCAGCATTAAAATGTAGCCATAGTGCACTTCTTGGAGAAGGAATGCAAGGGCAACTTTAAAAGCTTAGAAAGGATGCTGAATTGCATCAGAAAAGCCTGGTGAGACTGAATCCCTCTTGGCTTGACTCATTATTTCCCTTCTTGGGTATTTTCATCTCCTTTTGCAGGCTCCTACTCAAATTTAAACTTCAAAGGACTTGCATCCAAAACAGATCATCTGAAACATCTACATTCAACTGCAGTTCAAAAAGACTGAAGATTCCCGCAAACAACATAAAACTGCAAAATGCACACCAGGTGTAACAAATGAAATATTAAATCTGTTTTACAACAGTGTGAAAGCTGGATAAGGATTGAGTCAGATTGCACAGACGTTTCACATGGGAGCACACACCAAAGGTTTCTTAGATCATTAATTTGGGAGCAAATGGACTTTCCTGAACCTCAGCTGCTCAGTCATTCGTACATCTCCTTCACTCGGATCTCTGAGGAAGTCACATCTGTTTCTAACAACGTTATCCAAAGATATAGTCGCCACCGATGCAATCATGAGCATTTTTCTATTATTGCGTGCGTGTTACTACAGTATGTGTGCTATTGTGTGTTTTTGTTCTTATTTGAGCTACTGGATGCCTAAATTTACTTTGTGATCAATAAAGTATCTTTCTCCCTCCCTCTCTCTCTCTCTCTCTCTCTCTCTCCCTCTCTCTTTCTATCTATCTTGGGTAATATGCATCTATATTCTTCATCTTTTCAAACTACCAGTTGAGCAACTAATAGGAGTTTTGTGATTCGCCAAAGCTTATGTGTCTCCAACAGTGAAGGACAACCTTATTTTTTTGTTTACGTGACATAGCCATTTAAACCAGCTCCTTCTTTATTTAAACTTTGTGCTTAATGAAGCACGCTAGGTCAAGTATCCCGACAAAGCAAATCAAAACAGAGCTCCAGATGACAAATTACACTCAGATTACAGTGTCTTTAACCATCAGATCATATTTCTTTCTTTATTTGTTTGTTTATTTACTTGCCAAGTGAGGCATATAATAAAAAACAAACACGCGGCTGTCTTGCAGGCAGCTTTTGGAGTCAGTGTTGCTAGGAGAAGTGCAAGTGCAAGACAATTGAGAAGCCAAGAGCCATACAAACATTATTTGGAACTCAACATCTGAAAAGCTATACAAATAAAATCAGCGGAAGGATTAGATTAGTCGAGATTTTCCTGTAAGACATGGGCCTTAGGGTCACGTTCTGTCGCGCTGATGATAGCTAATGGCAGAAGCTCATACAGTAGCTACAGGGATTCTCCAGGTTACGAATGAGTCGAATTTGCAGGTAAATGGAAGCATAATGATAATACAGTACATAATAATAGCAATAATTATACGATGATAATAAAAGTAGTCACATACAGTACTGCACTGTACCTCGAGCCGACGAACTGCTGCAGTCTTGCAATGTTTTCATAAACGTCTTAAAGTTGTGTGAGCATTTGTTGTTACAAACTTGAATTTAACCCAAGTCTTTAATATAAAAGGCTTTATGGCAGTCCATTCGTAAGTGTGGGCTGTCCGTGAGTTGGACGTTCTTAACTCAGGGGCTGCCTGTATAGCTTTTCGGATAGTTGTATAGACCCCAGACCATTGTACAACACCCAGGAACTTTTTTCGTTTGGAGCCAGACACGCTGCACATACTAATGTGAACTTCACAGCCTATGTTTATGTCTTGTATAAAGAAAGCATTGCAAGGTTTTTATGTTTGCTTTTTCTCCCCTGCAGAGATCTGTTTTAACCTTCGAAGACGGACCTTCCGTTTCACCTCACGAAGCGAAGAAACGGCGGTGAATCTCAGTGGTGGATCTCGCTCCCTCTCTCTGCCCACTTAACATGCGGCGAGATGCAAGCAAGTTCTTTGCACCCCCTTTCAAAGCTATTGTTCTGGGTCGTGATCCTGGACTTCTGGAAGAGGCAGCTTATCTGCATGCACAGTGAGAGGAGACCTTTAAAGGAATTAGCATATTTCCCACGCTGCTCATTAGCCGCATGCGCTGCAAACCTGTTTCCCCCTCAACCTCTACCTATGCAAGTCAACGGCACAAAAGAAACCCACAAGCGGAGCCTCTTCTGATTGTCTTCTTTGTGTTCATTGCTGCCAGACGCCCCCAGAGAGAGCGAAGCTCTTTAATGCCACCAAGCTAAAAATGCAAGCCACTCATAAATATGCGAGGCTAGAGAAATGCGGCATACCGGGCACCCCCAGGGAGGCTGCGAAAAACGCATGCATGCTAATGCTAACTGTTGCCATGGCACAGCAACACAGTAACTCAAGAGACTGCCCGTGTATCCATGCAGAACGGACTTGAAAGGCCTTGATGAGGCGCTACGCAATTTGGAAGGAGCGTGTGCATGGAGGAATCTGCAACTGCCCATGGTGATTTCTCAGACATTCAGAGTCCACGTTGCGCTCAGGCTCGATTAGAATAAGGGGCGTGTTTGCGCAGTTGCCATTCAGAGAGCTGAAAAGAGCAGCAGCAAGATTCACATCAATAAAACCCCCAGGGCATAAATGACTTCAGTCCAGCGCCTTGAGAAAATAATTTTAACCTCCTGAGACCCCACCCATTCATTTATGTCCATTGTAGTGGATATTTTGTTTTTGCATCTATCGTTTCACTGATGTAAGGAAACGTATTTATTCCTGTTGTACACTAAAGAGGGCATGCTGTGAAATTAAAAAGAAAAATAAATTTGAAAAAATTTAAATTGTAAGATGTCTTATTTCCTCCAAAGACAAATAACCTAAATTGAAGGACACTTTTTTCCTTGGGTCTCAGGAGGTTAAACAATTTCAGAAAAGGTAAATTCAGGATGCAGAAAAACATGCTTGAATTCAGAATTGTGCTCCAGAATCAAAAATTAATAACTCCTGTGTTTAGTGTGTTTATTTTAATCTCAAAGGATTATATGCCTCGGAATCCTACAGAAGAGCTAGAGTCTGCGTCCAGGGAGAGAGGGAGGTGTGGTCTTACCTGCCAGCTGTCCTGCTATCGTGAAAGGCAAAACACTTTGTAGCTGCCTGGCTGAATAGATGAATATCAACTATATTCATTAAACCAGCCTTCCTCAAACTGAACGGATGGGTAGTGGGCTTCAGAGGAAAAGGAAAAATGAAACAAAAGAAAGGAAGTATAAAAGCAGAAATGTTCCATCGGTGAGACATTCCCATAATAAGTTTAAGCAAAAGCAGAACAGCACAAATCCGTTTTGTGGCATATCTACTGAACACATCTACAGAAGCTTCAATGGATCATATCTTAACAAGAATGTGATTGGAAAGTGTTAGAATGCATGTCAATAGATGGACTGACAGCTTCATGTTACTTCATAGCAAAAATTAATTCTGCAAACATTTTCTCTAGTTTAATGCGACCCTGAAAGTGTGAAAACAGGTGAGATTTTGCGATTTGGAACATTGTGTACTACGGAATGCTTGTGTAGGTGTTAATAATTTGCTCAACTCATCCACCTACCTTTGCAAACCCATTGCCCCAAACAGTTGTGCCGAGCTTGGGGCTTGTCCCAAAACGCACATTCCACACATGCAGCCAAGGCTGAGAAGAGAATCCACATTCCTCAAGGTGATATCTGCTGTTTATTACCATTTCATTACAATCATCACACCCTATGACAGTAATCTTCGTTACAATTCAGCTAATTTCCTAGCACCTGGCTTCATAACATTTCTTGGTAAGATTCAGGTTTTATATTTAATATTGTTCCTTATTGATAATTGCTTCCTGGAGAGAACTTTAGTAGGGCTGTTTATTTGTGTCACCGTTTACATACAGTACTAGTAACTTGATAAGCTGTCGTGCAATAAACGTCCTCTTCTTTGTTGATTTCCCTGGTGGAAAATCCAGTTGAATCCACATGACCTTGTCACTTGATCGCAAACTGGTATGAACAAATCTGCACTGCTTGAACAAATTTGTCACTTGGTTTCAGCTACTGGCAGTGTAATCCAGATACTAAACCAAATCAACAAACGTGACCGTCTGTCAGTTATCTATAACCAAATATTCAATATAGGGCCATGAAGAGACTGGAGGTAAGGACGCATGGGACATCAGATAGGGGACATCTTGAATCAGATGTCCTTCCATCATAGGACACCATTAGACAACTTCCGAAGTTGTCATGAGTTTCTAATGGGATGTTTAAAGACATTTCTCTGAGACATTCTCCTAATTGTTTTTTTGACACTCCAGTCATGTCCTTCAGTACAATAGCAGTGCATATGACTTTTGACCCAAGACCCTAGTGCGTTTGATTTGAATCAGGAAACATCTTAAATGTCATTCAATCCCTTATGGAATGCTGCAGGACAATGTGATATTACTGAGTTATGTGTAAATGTCTGGTAAACAAAAACACATTTTTTTGAGTCAAAAAGGTCAGAGAGATTGTGTCAGAGTGTCCCTGGGGGTGTTGGTTGGGCATTTGAAATATATCATTCTGATTTCAAAGCTTTCAGTTCCTCAGTATTGTGATTCATTCTACTGGGAATAACTCTAACGCTACTTTTGTCTTCATACTCTAAACAATACTCCAGAAAGCTGGCAATTTTGTTTGTGCGCTGTTGCAATACAGAAATAGGCCACATAGTTTGATCTGCTGGGAAATAATAGCTGCCATTCACTGAGCATAACATAAAAGTTTTGTTTTTTTGTCTTGACAATTTTGTTTCTCATTGAAGTATCAAAGTTTCTCTTTTTTTTTATGTATTTGAAGGTATATTCTCTTGTGACACAGAGGGTGTTCGGGAAATAAACACAGCTCCACAACGATGAGAAGGCTGAGATCCCAAAAACGAAACAACAACTAAACAACAACATGTTTACTTGTATATATATGCAGGTGCTACATCGAATGTAAATACAGTCAAAGAAATTTTGAACCTGCAGAAGGCAGAACAATGGCGAGGGGGTGGGCTTAAATCAATGAGTCGCGCCCCCATGGTGGCAGGTAAAGAAACCTGGCTGATTTGGATTAAGCTGCTGGTCATATAAAGCGCTTGTTCTGTTAGGTGTAACAAGGTCAGCTTGCTTTTTCTTGGTGTGACTTCAGTTCCTTTTTTCACAACTGCAGTCCGATTAAACCTGTAATGACCAGCAATAAGCTCTTGTATCTGGTTAGGTTTGGACAGTGTCTCTCAAGCTGGCCCTCAGGTCCCCCAGACAGCCTATGTTTTTGCTCCCTCCCAGCTCCCAGCCAAACAATCCACATTTTTGCTTCCTGCCAGTTCTTGGTAGCAAAAATGTGGATTATCTAGGTGTCCCCCTAGTGGGTTTTAGATACTGTATGTCTGTCTCACCCTGGGATAAGCTGCTGCTACACAGTCTGCTCATAATTATCATTATAAACATGAATCCCAACTTGTTGCACCAGTGTCCAGTCCAAAGACTGACCAATCATAGATTTGCTACAATATTTCTATGCAGGTGCATTAATATAGCTCTGCTTTTGCGGTGATGCCTATAAAAAATTCTATATTTGCATTTAACATCAAATCACTTATCAATCATTGAAGCAGGACTGCACAGCAGCAGAGAATATGTAGAGGCATTACCCCGCCTACTAACAGTAGAATTAGAAACTGCCACAGCAAAAATAATAAAATGTTTGAAGTCATACTTTATCTATATGAGAACACACACAGAGGCTATTGAGTTTTTACAGCGCACCCGACTCTGACCTTACCGGGAAGAAAGAGATAAAGATTTCGCAGAAGCAATTTTCATACAACTCTCTCCAACCCAGGAGCAAGACAACCTTGAGTGTCACTAGAGTTAAACTCTGCCAGTGTCCCAAATTGCATATTTTACTTGAATTCACACACACACACGTACACATATCTCTTTGTTTATCGCAGGCCAAACACATCAGTGCTATTAATCACCAGATTAGGTGTGTGTTTGTGTGTGTGTGTGTGTGTGTGTGTGCGCCCGTGTGTGTGGATGAGGTTTATATTACATTGTAGGGACCAAATGTCCCCCACAATGTAACAAAAACCTGTTGTTTTGATGTTGTGGGGACCATTATTCAAGTCCCCACAAAGATCTGTGAATTCAATTAAAAAAGTAAAAATGCTAAAAGTCTTGTATTTTGTTTGGTTAAGGTTACGGCTGGGTAGGGGTTAAGGTTATCATGTTGGGATTGGAGTTTTCCCCATAGAAACGAATGGAGAGTCCCCACAAAGATTTAATTACAAACCTGTGTGTGTGTGCAGGGGTCATTGTTTCCAGACTAAAAGTTCCATAGAAAAAAATCAACTTGGTCTGGTTAGGATAGAGATACTTTATTAATCCCCATGGGAAAATTCTCTTTGTCCCATCTTGCCCTTCATGCAGGTGAGAGCAATCGTGGGAGTTACAATGAAGGTATAGTCAATATGGAGCACTCAGGGAGCTGGGGGGGGGGTTAAGGGCCTTGTTTGAGGGCCCACAGAGATGTGACTATTCTGTCAAAGGAGGGCTCAAACCAGCAACCTTCTGATCACTGTGGCTTAGCCTTCTGAGCCACACACAGCCCCCCCTCCCATAAATATGACATATACATGTATATTTATCAAGTGGGTTTATGTGTGAAAATTATCCTCCGGTGCAAATTGTGCTCTGGAATCTTTTCAACACTTATTCTTCGTATGTAGTTTATTTTGGAAATTTTCAAGGTGCTGAAGTTAAGGAACCTTTCAGGAGAAACTGGCCGGGCTTGGGCATGATGACGAGAGACAGTGTTCTGGGCTGATCGGGTTTTTAGGGTGACAGCATGCTCCCGAGTGAGAAGGCATCCCAAAGAAAACCTTTACACCGTCATATGTCCTCAACAACATGTGATTCATCCCCGAGAGGTAGGGTGTCCTACGAGTCCAGTGGCAGTCAATATCTGCTCTGGTTTCAACATAAAGTTCATTCTCTGATTCGATGGGAGGAGAGGGGGTATGGTCTCACAATGGTAGAACCAAAAAACACAATCTCAAAAAACACAAAGCAAAAGCCAATCAGAGTAGACTATACATGAAATAATAGAAGACCGACCAATAGGCTAATAAAGAACCAAAAAAAAAAAAAACTAAGCAAAAGCCCTGGGCCAATCAGAGTAGACTATGCATAAAATGCATGAAATAATAGAAGAACGACCAATAGGCTAAACACAGAGAAGGGCAGGGATGTCATGGAGAAGTATAATCATATTATCATGGCAGAAGGTGAACAAGTGGATTTGGAAATGCGGCAAAAAAGTTGCAGTAATACTTGAGTGGTTTTGGAGGTCTGGATCGTGGCACAGTCCAATGGGGATTAACCAAGACCACACAAAATGCAGTCAGGACCCCTTTAGAATCGAAAACTACACAACTGGCAGCCATGGACCCTTCTTCGTAATTCACTTTGGGCTACTTTGTGATATTGTAATCTATACTTGAAATCACTTTACTCAACACTGTGAGATAAAATGAAATGTGCCACAATAAACCAAGGTTATCACTTGCTCCGTGCTCCATGTGTGGAATAGAATAGACAATAATGTTAATATCTCTTCTTAAACCAAACTTTTAACTCCAGGAATATCTGACAATCTTCCTTAAGTGAGGATTAACAAGCTGGAAAGATTGTCAGACTTCATATTTCCATTCTGTGATGTGATGTCACAAGGTATAATGCATTATAATGGTCAGTATAAGCAGTAAGGATGCTTGGTGCTGCATTATAAAGGTATCTTTAGTGCATTATAGATGAGAGTTTCATAAGGCAGTCATAATGCATAATAAACATGGCTATAATGTGTTGTGTCTTTTTATAAATATTTGTAGCCATGTTTATAATGCTTTATGAATGTGTTTTAATGCATTATGAATGTGTTTATAAATTACTAAAAACATGGCCTTAAGTAAAATGTTAGCGATATTTCTTTGTGTGATTGTGCTACAGTTATAAGGAGTAATGCACGTTACATACTCATTAGTGAACAAGTATATTTCAAAGAATAATGTCTGCATTGTGCTATATTGAGAAATGTATCTATGACAACCCTCAGGTAAAGTGTGTCATTGATGTAACCATCCACGCTAAGCTATTGTCAGGTTGGCTGCAAATCC